CTAGTAGCGCTTTCACAGTTAGTTAGATGAGGGCAGAGGAATTAAGGCAGGTAGAAGTATTCAGTAGAAAAGGAGCTTGCCAGCTCCATGAAAAGCTCAGACCATCTTTGAAAACCTCTGATCAGAAGGCTTTTTGGGAATTCATGAGAACATCCCATACTAGTTTTCCTGGTAATAATATCGGCATTGCAGCAATGACAGAAGGTTACTCACCGACCAAAACCCCTTGCACAAGGCTTGGCACAAATGCCGAACGTAATGATCTCTCTGTGAAGAGAAGTCCAGGTAAACTAATATCTTTTTTTTCTCATAGTGAAGAGGCACTGCTGAATGTGCCTTGCAGATAGTCCCAAACAGCCCAAAGATAACTGAAAATAGATTAAGGTTTGGTGTAAAGAGAAACTGTCAGAGGAAGCATCAACACTGGAACATTCCGGAGGTGAATGGGAAGCTTAAGACCTAAGCTGACACAAGGTCATTTTGGTCATGGCTGTCTTGTAAGATGATATCTGAGCCACTGGCTAAAATGTACCAAAAGTTATGCTCGCACTGAGAACGGAATACTGGCAATTGTTTTAGATCATTAGTATTTTCATGAATATGTTTATGGGAAGAATTCAATCAAGGAAGAAAGAGACCGTAAAACACTAGGAGCCATAGAGAAAAATCCATGGTACAATGGGCCACCTGGACTTCAGAAAAATGTAATGAAATTGCAAAAGTACTCATTAAACGTGAAATACAGGCCCAGTAAGGGGCTTAGCAGATACGCTTTCAAGAACACCTATAAATAATGAAAGCAATGAACTGCAGGAAGAGGAGTTTGAAGTAAATATGAGTCGAGGACTACCCATGTCTGAAATGAAATTTGACAAGTTCAAACAAGTAACACAAAATGACCCAAGTTGACAACAGTTTGGGAAAAGTAATTCTACATGGATGACCAAAGAAAATATCAAGCCAGTGCTGAGCATAAAAACTTACCAGGACTATAGATAGGAAATTGCTGCGGTTGATGGGATTGCACACAAAGAAAATCCTGTCATAATACAATATCCACATGAGGTCAAAAATGCTGTGATTTTCAGAAACAGAAGCCTATAGGGTACTGTGGAAAGAAAAGAAGCATGAGGGCCCTAGATCTGAATGCCACCATCAAAAGGAAATCCGATGTCTTCAATACAGAGGGGAGCCAGGCTGATGCACAAGAGTCTCTGGCATAACCTGATGATGCAATGAGAGTGGATCTTCATTTGGTCTAGGTCTCTGCGATGGGAAATACGAGGTCACAGCTAAGATCCTCAAGTCCATCTTCAGCTGGCATGCAACTGGCCAAGAAACACATTGCAGATCTCCATTTTCTGCTTTGGGGATTGCAGGTGACTCAAAGCAAAGCACAAACTCATGTTCTAGTGGCACGAGAGGCAAGTTGTTCATTGACATCAGTGGGAGCAAGACAGTGCCCTCACATTCCCCAAATACATGAAAGATCTCCTCATTGTGGGTAGATGCTTTTAGCACAAGTAAACTCAATGAGGAAGAGTAATTGTGCCCAAATGAGGACAAAAAACCCTAGAAGGAACCCCCAAATTTCCATCACGTGGGAAGGAGACATTAAATGCGCTGCCTTCTTGCCTGTGTATTTCTGGATTTATTTGCATACATTACTAAGGACATTCAGCCCATGCTTTCAGAGCTGCTCTGCACATGAAAAGGAATCCTGAAGGCAATAGAGACCTCTTGCAGGTGTCAGCTTCATTTGAAAATCTAGTCCTAACACAGCTCCTGGAGATGTTTCTACTGTTGACGTATTTATTCTGGTGTCAACATTAACTGGAGCCAAGAAGAGTTATTCACTCAGCTAACTGAATCTATGAAGAGGGTCAAGTGTCTTTCATGTTCCATCATCCAGTAAAAAAAAAATAAATAAATAAAAATCATGATCCCATCACTACCCCCTGGGAAATAACGGATGATAATGGCATACAAGAGAAGCAGGCCCGTCTTGTTAACTAGCGTTATCTGTTTCTACAAGGACAGGACACGAGGCCAGCAACCTCCCCACATCCAAATCAGCTTTGTAAACCCTTATTTAATTTTTTCAATTGTTGATAGACTTTGTCATATCTGTGTGCTCACAAAAAGATCAATTTTGTTCATTCACCATAGTAGCGAACGGCGAGGATGAGCTGACAACATGCGTTCAGCTCCGGGCCCGTTATTTTTAAAAAGATATTGACAAACTGGAGGGAGTTCAGAGAAGAGCGACAAAAACGATTTGCGCCTTGAGGACTGATCCATGAAGAGCAAAATATACACAGTTTGGTTTAGTGATGACTGCAGGAGGCTGGAAATGTACGTTATAAATATTTGGAAAATGGGTTTGCAAAAGAAGGAAGAACAAAGTTTTGTTTTGGATGCAGCTCAAGCAGAAAGAAGTAAGGCTCATTTTCAGGAAAGTGTCCTAGCACTGAATCATCTGGAAAAGCCTCATAAGAGA